TTAGTTTCTTTTTAATGGTCTGCAAAATATCTTCTGCTTTGCCTGCTCAGTAGTAGTGCTATCAGAACAGCTTAAGCGTATCTTTATTAGTATATGCAATTTACAGTCAAAATGGCAAGAAGATGTTTGTTTTTTAGTGTCAGAAAAAATATATTTAGCATAAAATTATGCAGAAGCCTTAAAAACTATATATATATTTTCTGCTTCTCACAATCAAATTGATCCCAAACACATTCAGTGATGCTGAGGTCTGGACTATGGGATGGTCAGTCCATTGTTCTGAGAACAACAGCAGCTTATTTAGCTTTAAGTGCTGTTTATTTGATGGTGGCAGTTTTGTGGCCTACCAGGAGTCCCATTTTCTCTTTATCTTTTAATCATTGTTTGAACTCCATTTTTGAAAGCTCTCACTTACTTTCCTTTACATATGCAAGTGGATTATTTTATATCTAACCTTCTCAGAAATATCTCCTGAATATACTTGTGCTTAATGGCTGTTTTGACTGGAAACTAAATAAATCTCTGGTTTTATTGTGTGTATATATATATATATATATATATATATATATATATATAAGGATCAAATCAGAGCTTTTGTTCATGGTGTGCAAATATGTCTTAATGTCTGTAAGGTGTGCTCATACAGCAGCTTGAACTTAAATGCAGGATATTTATATGCAACACATCTTTATTACATATATATTTATGTAGTATGTATTTAATAAGGGTTAGCTTTTTTTCATTGTTTTGAGGTCAATTCAGAGTTTCTTTTTAATGCTGTGCAAATATCTCTCCAGCTGTTTTTACTGCTCAGTAGACCAGCAAGTGTGTTTTTAGAACAGCCTGTGCTTATATGCAGTGTATATCTATATCCAGTATGTATTAGCTTACCACTTTCAATGGTTTAGGCTCAAATCAAAGTTTCTTTTTCACACAGTGCAAATAACTGTTCTGCTATTGACTGCTCAGTAGACCAGCGAGTGTGCTCTTAGAACCGACTGTGCTTATATGCAGTATATATCTGGCATAATTAATCTGCTGAGGAATGCTCCGAACCACGAAGGAGAATTTTCTTTTTTAATCGCTGTAATATTAGCACAGAAATTCGTATCCTGTTTTCTGCCCAGAAGGGGAATCAGTGAGTTTCACACCACACATATTTGTCATGCTTTTACAGCGAAGGCCCCACACTGTGAAGTAAGGGGGGGATGGGACTTTTAGGTGGTTTCCCCATACGCTGTACTGCTACATGTTACCTGTAGCCAGGTGTTGTGTTTGCTAACATGTCTAGTCGTGTGGCCCTCAGGCCCAAACATGTCACAGCTTTACCTAGCAGCCTCTCAGAAAAAACACACTCCTATTGTTCAGGCACTAGCAGGCGGTTGTCTAAGCCACAACCCCTAAGCCATAAGTCACTCACAGTTTTGTCAGTTTAGAGAGCGGTTTCAGCGGGGCGATGTGTGACTGAGGCGCGTAGGCTGTGGACACAAGCCTAGTGCTGTGTTCTGTTGTACTTTTGCTGATGTGTAAATTATAAGGAATTTCAATGCTAAGATGTTGCAGATACATTTACTGGTAAAGCTGAATGATCTGGGAAAAATATCTACTTATAATTTGTCTGATCAATTTTGTGATTGTGATTTAAATGCGCTACATTGTGTCTACACTCACTGTCCATTTTATCAGCTCCACTTACCATATAGGGTCACTTTGCAGTTCAACAATTACAGACTGTAGTCCTGTTTCTCTGCATACTTTGATGGCCTCCTTTCACCCTGTTCTTCAGTGGTCCAGACCCCCACAGGACCACCACTGAGCAGGTATTATTTAGGTGGTAGTTCATGCTCAGCAGTGACACTGATGTAGTGGTAGTGTGATAGTGGGAGTGTGCTGCAAAGAGGGGATCACACACAGCAGTGTTATTGGAGTTTTAAACAGACCAGAAACTGACCACTGAGGAAGCAGCAGAGAATGACTAACACAACCAACCACAAGCAACCAATAACCAATAGAGTGTCTAATGCTTATTGTGAACATAGTGGTGATCCTATGGGGGTTCTGACCATTGATGTACAGTGTAAGGAATTGCCGGCTTACCAAAATTTCACCAGTAGCGGACTGATGACTCAGTCAAGGGGTCACAAAAGAATTCAGAACTGCAGGCCTCACTTGCCTCAGTTAAGGTCAATGTACACTATTCCACAACAAGAAAGACACTGGGCATAAATGGCATCCATGGGAGAGCTGCAAGGCACAAACCATGACTGACATCTAAAAAACATCTAGATGACACCCAAGACTTCTGGGATAAGACTCTGTGGACTGATGAGTCAAAGGTGGAACTTTTTGGAAGACTTGGGTCCTGTTACAACACTACATTCCACCAGTCAAACATGGTGATGGTATTGTGATGGTCTGGGGCTGCTTTCCTTCTGCAGGGCCTGGACAATTTGTTGTGATTGATGGAACCATGAATTCTGCTCTCTATCAGAAAATCCTGAAGGAGAATGTCCACCCATCAGTTTGTGACCTAAAGTTCAAGCGCAGTTGGATTATGTAGCAGGACAATGTTTGGGAGCACACAAGCAAGTCCACCTCTGAATGGCTTAAAAGTGGAGTGGGCCAAAAGTCCTCAACAGCATGTAAAAGACTCATCGCTAATTATCACAAACGTTTGATTGCAGTTGTTACTGCCAAGGGTGGCACAAGCGGTTATTACATTAAGGGGCAAATACTTTTTCACATGGGTGGTAAAGGTTTTGAATATAGGTTTTTCAATAAATGCAATTATCATTTAAAAGCTACATTTTGTGTTTACTCGTGTTGTCTTTATCTTTTTCACAGCACTGTACATACATTCTTTACACACATTCAGTGGTCCAAAATGAAAAAAGCCCCCAAGTTTTTCAAAGTGAAAAGTGTAAAAGAGCCCAAAGATGTTTGCTGATGTTCAGATTAGCTACAGTCAGTCATAAAGAAGTCAATGGAAATATCCCATAAAGATAGGAATACACACTACTGTGTGTGTGAAAGAGAGACAGAGTGGGTGAGGGGGTTGGAGGAGGGGAGATGGGTGTGTTGGCTCTTTTTTATTCCTTTCTCTGAAGACTGAAAACCTCAAACAGAAAAAGAGAGAGGGGTTTCATTAAATTGTCAAGCACTCAGACGTCTTTCAAATTTAGGCCTCCTCTCGTGGAGCTCTGTGCTCACTCTCTAATCTTTTCTGCAGACTGAATAAGAAATTCCCTGAAAGACCGAGTGCCAAGTGTGCTATTTGAGGAAGACACAATGTTACACTGATATACTCTTATATGAGCCAGAAGGTACAATAGTGGGTCAGATCCACCAACGCTGACTAGACCATGCCTGAACGCTGTTATTAAGTTGCTGAATAATTAGCACCTTTGTATGTATGCAAAATGGACATGGACCAAACATTTGGGAATAGACAACAAAAAGTAGGACAGAAGATCACAGCTTGATATCCACATATAAGAAAAAGTATCATATAAAAGCTATAAAGGCGCTGCTTACAAAGACTAGAGTTTCTTCTTAGTTCTCACAGAACGTAGGTTTGAGGCATTGAAGCTTGCACTGGGTGAATATCAGAACTGATGAACTTAGTTTTTTAGACCAAACTTTCCATTGATTTTTCAAAGATTTGACATTATTCAGTTGTTGAGATTCATTCAGAGTGGTTTGATGTGAAATGGTTCACTGTGGAGAAACTTATCAACTCAGATTTCTTTACAGTGGAAGCCATTTTATTTACTAAATGCTTTGACATACAGTTTCTATCACCACCTCTGAAAACAATTCACTAGAATGTAGAATTTCACTGTTTGTTTCTTAATTGTTTGATTCCATTTTAATGTTCATGTGTAATGTTAATAATAGTAAAATAGTGGTAAATCCAAAACTTTATCTCAAAACTATTGTAGAACAACATCTCAGGCATCAGACAGTGTATTCGTAACCATTTCATCTAGCTGCTTTGTGTGACGTAGCTTTAGGAAGCATTAAACTCTTCAAATGTCTGGTTCCTATCATCACCATTGTGAACAATTCTGACTCAGTTTCTCTAGAATGGAGCATTTCACACCAAACCGCTCTGGATGACTTTCTTAACTATTTAATTGTGCAGAAATTTTGAAAAATACGTGGATTTTCACTTCAAGGCACGATAACAGTATTTTAAAAACTGGTGATTGTTAGTGTATTATGTATAACTTCTGTATTAGTGCTGAGTTCAGAGCAGGAAGTGTTATTATATTATGTATATTATGTTTGATTAGCATATTGCATCATTATAAGCTTCTGAATGTACATTTGCATTACATTTTAGCACTGCTGAGAGTAACTGTCTGTTCTGTTCTTTTAACTTTGATACATGCTTTTAGGTGGACATTATGCTTGAAATGTCTTCAAGACAAGTTTGGGACCATGATGTAAATGAAGGCATGAGGCCTAATCACATGTGCTAACTCATGGATGTTTTGGATTCACTGCAAAAAAGTTACCTTAGCAAGTGAAACACTGCTAAGTGTAGTCAGCATATATACTTCTTATAATAAGATTACTATAAGAAGTAAGGCTATAAGGCTTATTAAAGGTTAAAGGCTATTTAACTTATTCCTTGACATTTTTTATTTGTTTCAAGTCATTTTATTGTATAAAAATGTCATTTCAGATACTTTTACTTGTTTCATACATTATTAATAAGCAAAATGATCTGCAGTATTTCTTGATGCCAATAGACTAAGACACTTTCACCAGATAAAATGACTTAAAACAATTAAAAATGTATAGAAACATGTTAGATAATTTTATAATTGTCTTACAGCCATCTCATAGAAATAAGAGAAATCTTAGCTATATTTACTAAACTTAAGATGTTTTCACTTGTGAAGATATGCTTTTTTGTTGTATTGTTCTTGGTAGTCTATATTACAGTTTCCTTTCAAGTCTCTAAACTGTAGTCATTTGCACTGTGCCTTCAGGTGCCTTCTCGCTCCAGCTTGTTTTCGGCTTTGACCACCTGCCTGGGGGGCCAAACAGCAGAGGAACCAGCCGTGGAAGCCTTTTAGACGTCCTTACACTATCACCATCATCAGTCCAGTCTCCACCCAGACATCCTGCCACCCCCAGACGCTTAACTACAGAGCACGACTCCAGGCTCCTTCAGAATGTCTGCTGAACGTCAGTTGAACTTTCAGCTTCACTCAGACTAAAGCAACAAACCCTACTGTTCTGGATTCCTTCACCCAAAGTACAACATTTTGTGGAGATACTGAGTTGAGGACTAGCTAATGCTAGCTTGTATGACTTTGAGCCCTATACATCTTCTCTAAAACATCCTACTCTATGGTAAAGGAAAGTAAAATGGATACAGTGTCTCTAAATGCATCTCTTCGTTCCGGAGGTCACAGTGTAGGCACAGACTCTCCAAATCTGTCCATGAAATCCTGGGGCTTCACAAACGACACCGACTCCGTCAGGAGCCGACACTGGAACTTCTTCCTGGCTGCTAACTTCATTGATGTTGGTAAGTCAGGATGGTTAAGAGATCAATGTCAAAAAGCGGTTGCTGACCAAAGTTCTGCTGTGATGCTTTGTAGATAGAGGAGAACTTTACTGAGAATGTCATTTCATGTCATTTTGTTATCATAGTAGTTGAGATTCTGATGTTGGCCTGGAACTTAATAATGCACTCTTAAAAACAAAGGTTCCTCAGCGGTTCTTGGCTTGGATATACCTTGATATTATGTGGTGTCAAGGTTCATCATACTCGGCATCAGAATTCCTTGGATGTTTTTTGGCTCATGTCTTTGAGTGGCATCTGTTGTTTTCTCTTCAGGTTATCTTTTATCTTTGTCATTGTCAGCTGTGTTGTCAAGTGAATATGTATCCGTTTCAGTGTCTGACATTCTTTCACTTTGAGCTTGCAATGGTTTTCAGATTTTATCAGTGCTTTTAACTGAAGTGTCTATGACTGCTTGTTTCTTGTGGTTTTCATCAGATATGAGATTTGCCATTGTGATTTCTGGGGATTCTGTAATATTATGTAGAAAGGTACACTGTTCAGGCATGTAATACCTCTCTTAGTTACGTCTGCTTGCTCAGTACAGGAAAACACCATTTAATTATTCCAATATGGAACAGATTTACTAAAAGAGGCACTAATTACTGTCAGTCTACCTGCACACTGCACCATTGTGGGTGACCAATAATGTGACTTATCTACTAAGAACTTCCATGCAGATGAACACAGACAAAACTAAGACCATGGAAGTTGTGACATCATTCTATAGTCTGTATCATGCCTGTTTTAGAAACTCTGGGTCTAAGCTGGATCTTTCTGTGGCAAAAATGAATGAGATATCTGAAAATCAACACTACCTGAGGTGCACAAAAAGCTCCCAAACCATCATTTTTGTTCTCGGTACATTTTTCCTCTGTATGTCACTAGATCTTCTGAATTATGCACGCAAGCTAATACCACTGTGCTCAGAATTAACACCATAAGACATGCAAGTACAAAGAAATGCCCCAAACAAGCAAGCAAGCCTTGTCGGATGTGTTAATTAAGTGGATTTAGCAGTAGTAGAGTACATTAGGAGTAGCTGGTATTGGTATATAACACTATTAAACTTTAATGGTACATGTATTTCATGCAATGTCACTTCAATGCGCAGGAGTGCTAGCTTGCTACTAGCATGGATGTAGTAATGTTCATATTTCAGCTGCTGAATGACCTAATAATTCAGATAATCCAGTGACATTCAGTGGAAAAAATTTATGTAGGATAAAACGTACCAGATTTACAACGTTTTTTGTTTACCACAGGAAAATGATAGAGGCGATTTTCAAAAATCCAGCTTAGACCCAGAGTTGCAAATATAAGCATGACACCGAGTGATGGTGGCACGATGACTCACAACTCACAACACGATGAGTTCAGTTAACATATGACCAGCGCAATATGACGTGTCTGGCTTGTGTGCTTTTTGTATGATACCGTTTACACCTGGTAGAGCTTTTATCTGTCAGTTTCATACTCAAACTGTGACTCTTTAGGTCGAAATAATGACTTATCTTCTCATGATTTTGACTTATTAAGTCAAAAAGCATGAGTTGTTACTTGTCATAAAATATGTGATTATTTCAACAACATAAAAAAGTTGATTTCAGAAAATAAGATGGTAACTTACCATCATAAGAAAATAAGTTTTCCGAAAATGTAATACTTTTCATTTTGAGATTGTTGTAAGACAAGTATGATATTAATAAACCTATTTCTTGATATTTTTACTCATTTTAAGAAATAAGCAATGGTCTCACTATATAGGCAGATAATCCTGCTTAAAAGAAATGTGCTTAAAACATGCAAAATGATCTGCTAATATAGCGCTGCAGTGATATTTTAATGGCATTGATTGTCAGTTTCATCAGTTTCTTGTTTAATGTTTCATGGTCCTTTTTCTCATGATCAGAAAAAAACCACATTAATACACTATGGGCCGGCTTCCCGGACCCAGATTAAGCTTAATCCTCCACTAAAAAGGCTTTAGTAGTAGTAATAGTAAAGTAGTAGTAGTAGTAAACCACTATTGACATTGCAATTTAGTTATAGACTAGGCTTAATCTACGTCCACGAAACCAACACTGTATGTCCAAAAGATTGTAGACACTTGCTTATCCAACTTTTCTTCTAAAATCAAGGGTGGTAACAGGGAGTGTGTCCCCCTTTTGCTTCAGTAACAACCTCTACTCATATGAGAAGGCTTTAAACTAGATGTTGGGACATTGCTGTGAGGGTTTGAGTGCATTCAGCTACAAGAGCATTTGTGAGGTCAGGTGCTGAGGTTGGATGTTTTCTGGATTACAAATGTCAAAAACTCATGCCAAAGGAATTGACAGGTGCTCCATCACTACAGAGAACAAATGGAGCCCAATGCTGGGAGCTTATGCCCCTCTAGCTGATGCTTGGCATTGGGTGCCCTTAGGCTCATGTGTGGCTGCTCCAGAGCTCCATTCAATTGGCAATGCTTTTCAAAGGAGATTATACAAGCTGTGTGTTTGCAACTGAACACCTGTATGAGTAATAGGTGCACCTTAAAATAGCTGATTTCACTAATTAGAAGGAGTGTCTACATAGTTTTAGACGTACAGTGTACATATTTGCCAGACTGTGTGGTGACCAAAAGTCATAAAAATGTCACCCCTCATAACATTTTAATGATTATGACCCATGGGTTCCCACATAGATAATGACCTACTGTCTGGCACACATTTAGGCTAAAAACTGATAGTACACAGTAGAGAGCAATTATTGTTAATGACTTGTTGATGTTCTTTTGCAAACAGAAGCCAGCTGGACAGAACGTCCTGATTGGTTTCCTCACTGGCTGCATAATACAGTCATATGATAGTTGTTGTTGTGTTGTAGTGGACTGTACAGATGCAGTCCTGCAAGTTCTCTTCTGTCATCGTATAACATGTTCTATCTAGCCTGAAATCACAAAGGCAATGTTTCTGTGATAAAGAAAATGATTTATTCAGTATACTACTTGTAGTCCTGGCAAACCAATTCCCTAAAGGGGGCATTCCAGGTAGAGTTTATATGGCATTTGTCATGTTATACAGTTTATTGTAGCACAAAATTACATCCCTGGGCCTCAGTGGTTTGACAGAATTCATGATTTTATATTGTTTGCATGTTTTCATTCATCAATTTTCTCTCACTACAATACCCAGAATGCATTACACAAATACATCATACAGCCGTCAGGAATCCCCGTGGTGTCATCCATTCGTGACTGCAAACCTAGCCACTGGTTTATAGGCTAATAAATACAGCAATGCTAGCATCAGTGTAACTCTCACCCCACCAGTCAAACAAAATCATAAAGAAAACTATGATTCTGTCTTTATTCAGCACAAAATGGATGCCAGAGAAAGAAGGTATCTAGATTGTCAAATTGCTACCTGGCAATCTTTAGCTTTGAGTTTGTTGTCCTCTTCATCTGACGTGTGATTTAAGTTATTTAAGTAATCCATTCTCTCCATTGTAATGATGATTTAAAGCCCTGCAATTATACAGCTGCAATAAGATATTCAGCTTCCTAGCAGCCACCCCAAAGCAGTTGTAGTTTTTAAAAGTACCTCGCACCTTCAAGATACATCATCAGAAGAGAGTTTTGCCAGTCTGTAGACCAGAAAATCTCACTCTAGAGATTACTGCTGCACATTCACAACGTGTCAGTGTCTCTTTAACAGATCATGGTACATGCTGTTCTGGGTTGAGCCCTGGATGGTGCAAAAAGCTAAACATGAAACAAGTCAGCTTTTTGTCGTATTCCAGATCTCAAGACACCCGAGCCAGGGTATTGAATAACCCATGATTACTTGGCTGAAATGTTTGAGAAGATCAAAAATGTGCCCTGTATGGGTGTTCTCTAGCACTGGTGCTGGTTATCTCTGCCTTAGGGTTCTTTGTGGTTTGAAAGTTCATTCCTTCATTACGATGATAGGTCCAGTATTCACAGCAGGGATGTCAGAATCTGAGGCTAGAGGGCCAAAGCACTGCAGAGTTTGACACTCTTCAAATGCTAATAAAGAGTTCTTTGAGGCAGTGCCTTAGAAGAACCACTTTTGGTTCCCTAAACCTCTTTTCACAGTAGCTGTAGCATGAGTTTTTGCACTATGCGTTTTTTTTCTTAAAGACTCAGGGAACCTAAATCTGTGTTTTCTTTCTAATTAGGTTCATCTTGTTCTTGCAGGCAAACAGTGAACATGTACTAAGTATACTTTTTGAATAGTGTTTTCCAATGAATGTTCCAGTGAGTAAATGATAAACAGTATTAATCTTGGGTTAGGCTTCCGTAAGCATTCCCCTAACCAATCACAAGGCTGACGTCTCTTGCCCCGCCCACACGAAACAGTTTCAGAGTCAGAGAAACGTAGCGAGCTAAAGCTAACCCAGCATAACCAAAAACTAGCAAGCTAGAGCACATATCTGAAGCTGCCTGTCAGGCATTCATTCATTGATCCCAACACCAACATTGTTCGTTCGTCTGTTCCTTCATTCACGTGTTGCTTCGTTTATCCACTTGTTTGTCCATCTATCTGCATATCTGTCTGTCCCTTCCTTTGTCCGTCCATTTGTTTGTTCATCTGTCTGTCTATCTGCATATCTGTCTGTCCCTTCCTTTGTCCGTCCATTTGTTTGTTCATCCGTCTGTCCATCTGCATTTGTTCACCTGTGACTTTTTTCATGCAGTTACCATAACATAAAAGCTGGATAATGATTTCAGTTCTGTATGAGTGGCTGAGCAGGCTAGTAGTGTTGGAGAGCTGTTAATCAAGCTGCTCACTAGCCACGCCCACACAGCTCTCAGATAGGTCTGATCACCGTGTTTTATGGTATTTATGTCTTACATTTTTTTCAGTGAATCTTTGCTGCATGGTTAATATAACACATGAGTTAATAGAATATATTTCATAGGAAATGTGCATGATTCACAAAACTAAAAGCAAAGTGGA